GTTCGGGCTTCTGTCGGTAAATCTGAGCTGCGTCAAAGGAGCTTCCAGCATTGGAAGCATCATTCGTCACACACCCACAGAAGCAATTGTGTGTTTGACGTATTCCAGGAGCGCAGAAAAATTCAGTATTAACTAGTTTACTTTTTGTTTTGTCTATAAAGTGATATTGTTGAATATATTTACGTAAAGTTTTCAAAATTGTACTTTTCACAAATATGTTAAGTAATACTTAACTAATGCTATGAATTTCAAGAGATTTCAATTTAGAGATAGTATCCACCACCTTCTAACGCTTCTTTTTTTTTCGTAAAAATAGTTTTGCACTGCATACTACTATCATGCCGGCAACAATGCCAACAGATGTCTCTTCATCTTTCATTTTTTACTGTTTTGTGAATCTGCAGTATGAGTGCGACACTGACGAACGTTGGCCACACGTGTTTCCAATGTTCTACAAAAGTTCACCCCATCGTGTAGCAGACACTTGTCATACTTTTATGATGAAAATTGTGTCCAACGTTGAAACGAACATTGGAACCAACATTGGACACATTGTCTGGGACCGGCTTTAGTGAAATATTTATCAAGTAGATTTCGTAACTGGCTTTACTGCCTTTTAATAAAATACAGTTCTCAAAAATTGGCATTTTCTTAAAACCTCTACCAATAAAATATGTGGCAAAAAACAAGAGTGTTTAACGTTTTCTTAGTGACCTATATCCTTAGCTACTCTAGGACACTTCACTGAAATGTCTTTAAAAGTAACGGTTAAAAAAATCAAAAATTTTTTTCTTTGAGGGCCGCAAACTGAGAAAGCTAAATTATACTAATATAAGTTGATCTGTATCAATTTGTTTTCACTCCAGAAAGTATGAGACTTTCATTTTAGGGCATCTATACATTATACCAAAGTCAAGTACCTACATAATAATATTTCTTTTTAGGAAGGCTAATTAAATCCACAAATACATTCCATTCCTAATTAATATCTATATAGGTCTTTTTTTGTAGGTTTTCAAAATCATACTAAATATTAATTAAATCTAAAAGGTTGTTTTAGTTTACTACATTTATAAATATTTCAACTTTACAGTACAACTTCCGTATTCACCCTAAATCCATATATTTGTATATAACAACTACCTTGGTTTTTAATAAAATATTTCTAAAATACTGCTTGAAATTATTTATTAGTGGTATATTATTTACCATTTGATCTTTTTCGTAATTTATGATCCTGAAATGAACTAGGATAGGCAACTGACACAACATAAATATGGCTGCCTAGGTAAGAATTATTGAAAAACATTTCATTTAAATTTACAAATGCCTAAATGAAAAAGAAATACACCATTGGATAGTGGAAATGATAGTACTTCTATATATACTCTAAAAAAAAATTGATTTATTTCCCCCCTTTTTCGANACCTGTTTTTGGATTTTCCCGAAAAGTTCTTTACTACCCTGTAATGCCTTGCGGTACGTTTTCGATGGGCTACCCTGTATATATATATATATATATATATAATGGTTATTGAAGAGCCCACTGAATATATTAATCGGTTCTAGTTGAGCCCAAATCATCGCTATTGAGCCCAGTACCGGGCTTCATAACGTTTTGCGTGTATAAGTGTCTTAACGCTATCTAGATGTGCTTAATAATACTAAAAACAAACATTTTGCTGGACTTCATATTGTAACATTTATACGTATGTTATACTAACTCTAGTTCTCTGCAATTGTTGTAGAGGGCGCTTTTTGTATATAATTATATACACCAAATATTACTTAGTGCTTTGTGTAGCCCTTTATATTATTTTGTATCTATGTAGCCCTAAATTTGGCAACGTTGAATATCTTAGTAAAAAGCATGGTGTTCGTGGTGTTCTGAGTTGATATGAAAATATTTGAAGAGGTTTTTTATAGAACAATTTTTATTTTATTAAATTTCAAAATGTCAAAGTTGCAACATAGGTATACAGGCTGTTACAAATTCGCTTCTCACTACAGGGATCTCGAAAAGGGTAAGAGGTACAAAGTAGCTTAAATGGGGCAAATATTTGAAATAAACCGAAATTTTGGACATTCGTTTTTGTTTCATTTCAGCCTTGTTTAAGGTGATACTGAAAAAAGAATAACATTTTCTCATGGTGACTCTTTGTCCTATATCGAATGGCATAATCAATTTCTATATGTAACTTTTCGTCTCTCTAGGACCATAATCGACTTCTTTTTTTAAATACGACCATAGAAATTTTACTACATTCTCTGCAAGCCTTCATGATACCCAATACTATACTACCTCAGCTCGAATCAGATTCAGACGTTTTCTCTCAAAAATTCATCTTCAGTGTATTAGTTCCAAATTTATCTAAATTTTTTATTTAGATTTCTTTGTTTATTGAATTATCGTACACTGTAAGTGTCGTTAGACGCTGTGAAATCTAGTTATTAACCACCACGCATTACAATAAAACATTTATTATTAACTATTACCATCACTTGATGATGGCCCTGAAGAGACGACACGTTACATATAAAAATTGATTAAGTCATCGATAGCAAGCAAAAAGTGGCTATGAGAAAGTGTTCTTCTTTTTTCAATATCACCTCAAACAAAGCTAATATGAAACAAAAACTGATTTTCAAAATTTCGTTTTTTTTCAAATATTTCGAAAATTAATTATGTTAGCCTTGATTTTTTAGAATAGGCATAATGTTGATCCCCTGATTACGCAACTTTGTCCCCATTTAAGCTAGTTTTTATCTCTTACCGTTTTCGAGATTCCTGTAGTAAGAAGCGAATTTGTAACAGCCTGTATATAACACTAGTACAATGATATCCCAAAATTATATTCTTACAAGCAGACCTTATAGAACTATTGTGCGGACTGTAGACGATTGTCTTTCATCTTTTCAGATTTTTCCATAAACAATGATTTTTGAGAAAGATAAAATAAAATTCATAGGCAGTTGATATAATAACTTAATACCTCGAAAATTGCTACGTTTATGAAAGCGTTCAGGAATTAAAAATGTTTAAATATCATGGTTATGTTATTTTAAGGTAAATGGTTGCAGACGAGTCTTCAAAAAAGTACAATGGGATATGTTCATTCCACCTGTATAGAAATGCTAAATATTTTTAAGGCGTCATTCTGTTAATAGAAGGTATGTTCTAATTGGGATCTGGTTTGACCTTTGTTGATAAAAATAATCAACGGTTCTTTTTTCATCCTTTAAATGCGAACATCTTCAGAGAACGGGCTTAAATCAAAACATTTTATATAAACGGCCCTTAAAGTCATCCGGTGTCCAAATATTTGCATAGAATTTCAGAATATCCTGTACTAATAATAAATAATCTTCCAATTTGTCAACTTACGTTTTAACATTTAAGTTATTTTAGATAATTTGAAATCAACATAAAATCTATTCTTAGAGTGGGGAAATTTCTTTAAACCAGTAAACTTAAGTATTTTTTTATTTCTTTACCCAGTACTAGTTCAATAACTTCTCAAAACTAGTTTTTAAATAATATCAACTTGCGTGTGTAAACATATTTATAGATTGTAGGTAACTTATAATTTAAAAATAATAATTTGTTAACTAAATGAAATATAATGAAAGTAGAGGATAGAATAAAATCACTTTTATAGAAGATGTTCAAAAAAGTTCAGTACCTATAAGAATGATTAAGGAAAGTTTGAAGGTACGTAATCAAACAACTAATATGTAATATTAATATTAATAATAAATATTTTTTATTTGGCACTACATATTACCCGTGGAAAAATTATTTGTCTCTATACAAATTATAAACGAAAGCTTTAATTGTAATCCAATTTCTCGATTTAAATAATCCAGGATACTTGCTAAGGAACATTTCCACTTCATGTTTCTTTGGGGCCTTTTTATATTTGATATGATCTTTAAAAAAAGTTATTACAATATCTTTTTGTTTTTGAGTCCATTTCTCCCGATGTTTCTTCTTGGGAAAACTAGTTTCTGGAAATAGTGATTAAAGTAACAGTTAAAATTTATCAATAGAGTATTAAAGAGAAAATGTAAGTATGTAAAACACAGGGTATCCGGTAACTTTTACAGCCCTAATAAAATGAAACAATAAAACTATTTATTTCGGAATTTTTCGAGTAAAATGAGACAAAAATAAATAAAGAAATTGTTAATATTAATTATTTTTGCAACTACAATTTTTTTCTTTCACTATAAGAACAACAAAGGACGGCAAATATATCCATATTTACTTCTTTGTTCATACTTATTTAATAGGCTATATTTTTCATTCAAATACCTGAACTGTCCGGGAAATCTTCAGTCATTTCATTAACATTGGTGTCACCTGCAACACCCGAGCTAGGTTTATCAGAGTTGTTATATTCAAAACTCTCTACTTCAAAATTTTCACTTCTATTTGTTTTGTCATTGCTAGTTTTCTTAATAGCCATTGTTGTACCTGGTAAACTTTCGTTTTCCTTTTTACTTACCAATTTCTGTATCCTTTGGTTATATTCTGATTCTGACTCAGAATCAGATTCTTCAGAATTTAAATTGTCAGAAAATTCAATTTCTTCTAAAGTTTTACCTTTGTAATGAGCTCCCTTTCCCTTACTTATGGCCAAAAGGAGTTTGGATACTTTTGCGGTCTGGTAAACATCTTCAGACATCCTGTAAAAAATGAATGTATAATAACGTATATAAATGTGGAGTAGGTTTCTTTCAATTAGTTTACCTATAATAAGTCTCATGGGTCTTTTTTGTATGTCCCATGAAATTAGCGAACTGTTCCATTTCTGCGTCAGTAATATTCAATACCTGTAGCACGGTGGCTATTTGTTTTCGAAGACGCGTCGATGTGAAAAGTTCTTGATTTTTGACTCCAGATTCGCGAGCTAACTTTCTTAAGACGTTATATCCATTTAACCATCTATTTGGTGTTGACGGATTAGCAAACAGATATTCGTTAGTGTCTGGAACGCATTTACTTCTAACATTCAGCATTACATTTAAATATTTCTGGAGGTTCTTCGGAAACAATATAGACACTGGTTTACTTCCCTTGCCTCCCGTTATAATTCTTTTAAAGTTTTTTGTGAGAACTTTCTCGGCGTCAGTTAGAGACAGTAAAAATTCTTCTTGGTGGTTCTGAGGTATTTCTTTGGTATAAGTTTTTACCTTCAAGTACTGAACCTCTCCAACTCTTTTTCTGTTTAATAATAATGTCAAAGCCAAAACACATTCTGAAAGTTTTCGATACTCTTTTTTCAGCATACTTAATAGCAATCCAGTTTCAATATGTTCACATGTTTCTATTGCAATTTTCGTTACGTAGTTCTCAAAAAGTATAATATCTTTTGTGAGTGGTAATAATTTAGGTTTTTCCCATTTTTTCTCGTTTAAATCTTTAAGTGCTAAACTAGAAACATCTGAATTCCAATGATCCTCTATAAGTTGCCTAGTGAGTTTTATATTTTTCAGTGCTTGTTGCGAATCAGTGCTACATTGGAGGAAACTGCTTTTCTGGATAAGCAACTTAGTAGCAATATTGCACACCTGCTTTAGTGTTGTAGCCATATGTAACGCCAAACTACCTGCCTTAAATGTTCGTGTTTCTGAATCATATTTGCTAATTAATTTTACAGCCGAAACAATGTTATTGAACATTTCTGGTCTTAATACATCAACTAATCTTTGAATCCCTGTTGTATCTCTCAAAGCAATTAAAAGTCTGCCTAATTCCCTCATTTTGTTTGAAATAGTATTTTTTATTTGAGATCGTTTGTGTTTTATCAGTAAACTCTCAGCATAATTACATATCAGCAAATCATTCATGGCTACTTTTGATATTTCATCATTTCGCATCATTTTGAACACATCTTCTTTAAGTCTTAGTGAATTATAAAATTCTTTATAAGTACCTGCACAGATCATAGCTAACTGTGATTCTGTTAAATGATTTTCGCGTTTAGAAGAATTCATAATTTTTGGTCGTAGACTACATGTCTTCCTATGTCTTCGAAGATAATTTCGTTTGAAGAATCCTAAACAGTCTTGACAAGCCACATATGAATCTTTACCGTTTTCTTTATTGAAAAACTGAGCATTTTCTGCTTTTGGCCTTCTTACTGGGCGCACTAATTTGCTATGATCCTTTAGAACGTAGTTTCCTTGTCTTCGTATTATTGCCAGTAGCTGTTTTCTTTTAGGATTATGTGAACTCATACTCAATACATTTTTAACTGCGCTCTTATCTTGATGATGGCGTTCGAGATGTCTGCAAAAGTGTGTTAGTTCTACAAGACAATAGGGACATGAATTTTTTTTCGTCCATGGTCTGGAATTGGCGAAACATTCTATGTTGTCTGTTGGTGCCTGAATAAAATAAAATAAAAACGAGAAAAAAAGTTGATAAGTCTTTCCTCAATGAATTTCCCGTAGTTTATAATAGTACTATCACCGCCATTGCCTTAATTGTGTGATGAGTTTATAGGAGTTTGTAGGATCTGTATCTATGTGTGTTATATATTATTATTGTAAGTATATTGTTTTCCTGTGATGATGATTTATGTAGCAAATATTATGTTTTTTATAACTGATAATGATGACGAACCTTCATGTTTTTTGTATGGCTAAATGGGTAATAAAGTCTATCTATCTATCTATCTGTCCGTCCGTCTGTCTGTCTGTCTGTCCGTTCGTCCGTCCGTCCGTCCGTCCGTCCGTCTGTCTGTCTGTCTGTCTGTCTGTCTGTCTGTCTGTCTGTCTATCTATCTATCTATTATTATAGCCCAAATTTCTTTCTTTGAAATGTTTTCTGGAACCACTTGGAGCAAGAGTTGCTTCTATTTTATTTGTAGGCACTTCAGTTGACGTATCAGTATTTTCTGTGCTTGTGTCAGTAATAGTATTTAAATTTACAGTAACCTATAATTTTAAAAAAATTATTAAGATGAAATCTGAAAATTTGTTTTTGTTGCCTACCTGTTTCTGGTATGGAATAATTAATTCTGAATCATTTAAACCAAGTAAAGTATCAAAATTGGTTAGGTCACTATGCGTTGATAATTTAATATCTTGAATAATACGTATCTTAGGACTTTGTGGATCCTAAATATAATATTATTTTATAGTAACATATCAATATAAAGCATTTCCCTAACGCTTTACCACATAATCCTTTGGTCCAAATAATACGAATTAGCTCCATTTATTAAAAATTTAATAATAACGTGGCTACAAAGTGTGAAAGATAATATATGATTACATAATTTTTAATCATACAAAAAAATTACACGAAATTTGGAATTTGGATAATGATTTTCCTCTACTTAGTAGCGGGACCCACATAGTACTGATATTCAGTCTGTAAATATTTCTAACATTTTTCTGCGTCTCTTACAACAGCGCCCTTTATTTTATCATTTTTTCTACTAAGAAAGGTATACCTTATTAAATACTATATAACTAGCGATTTTCAAACTTTTGCAACTAGCGGAACCTGGTCAACATTTCAAATTTTTTGACGAACCCCCACACCTAAAAAAATGTTCGAACACATTTGTTACCGATTATATAATATATTTATAAATACTAGTTTTAAGTAAGAGTATACAGGGTGTTTGGTAAGTCGATGCATTCCTTACAGGAGGTTATAGTACGTGTAATGTGTGATATATTTCCTTAATATGCTATTTTCCGAAAACGCTTAGTTTCCGATCTACAGGGTGTTAAAGTTTTCATAAAAAATGCAGATTTACAAATATTGCGGAAACCGCTCAATATATTTTAATGAAATTTTACAGATTTTGACAGTTAAATATATGTTTTACGATAAAAATATTGTTTTCAGTTTCACCATTGGCGTGCGCACAGGCACGTCTCTAAATATTGTTAAAGAAAAAAATGATGCATCACTGATTTTTCTTAAAATAAAAATTATTTTTGAATTCCTTGTTCAATTTGGAAGAGAAAAGGTATCTTGACTGTTTTTCTTATAACGCACCACTTTCGAGTAAAAAGATAAAATCGATTTATAATAAAAAAAATAATCAAATTTATAATAATAAATAATAAAATCGCATGGCGTAATTCGGTTTCAATAATTTGAAAAATAGCAGAAATTATGCACTTAACTACTTCACACTCAAACACTCAAAGTGACAGCTATTGTCAATTTTATCAAACAATAACAAAAACGTTAGTGCCCAGCCGACTTGCTAATTTCTGTTTAGAATAATTTTTATTTTAAGAAAATTCAGTGGCGTATCATTTTTCACGCCACTAGTGAAACTAAAAACGATATTTTTATCGTAAAACATGTATTGTTGTTAATTGCCAAAGCTTGTAAAATTTCATTAAAATATTTTGGTAAAATTTTTTTAGACTGATGCTGCGAGGAATATTATTATATTTTTTGTAATAAAATTGGTATAAAAAAAAGCTTAGTGCATAATTTCTGCTATTTTTCAAATTATTGAAACCGGATTACGCCATGCAATAAATCGATTTTGATTTTTTTACTCGAAAACGGTGCGTCATTAGAAAAACAGTCGATACCTTTTGTCTTCAAAACTGAACAAGAAATTCAAGAATAATTTTTATTTTAAGAAAAATCAGTGGCGTATCATTTTTTTCTTTAAAAATACCCAAAGACGTGCCTGTGTGCACGCCACTGGTGAAACTAAAAACAATATTTTTATCGTAAAACATGTATTGTTGTTAATTGCCAAAGCTTGTAAAATTTCATTAAAATATTCTGAGTGGTTTCCGAAGTATTTATAAATTTGCATTTTTTTATTAAAACTTTACCCTGTAGATCAGAAACTAAGCGTTCTCGGAATATGGTATATTAAGGAAATATATCACAAATCACTTGCACTATAACCTCCTGCAAGAAATGCATCGATTTACCAAACACCCTGTATATTTTCATCGATATTGTTAATTTTAAAATTTTGAATTTTTGACAGTCGAACCCCCAGAGAAGTTGTGGGGAACCCAAGAGTTCCGCGGAACACAGTTGGAACAGCGCTAAACTAAATACAAATGCGTTTATTTAAAAACGGTTGCTCGTAGAGTATTTTATAAGGTACCGTCTTTTAGTAGAAAGGTGGGTAAAATCAGTTTCTGTGATAAATTAATACTGTAACAAAAAGAAGTTTAAAATACAAAACAAATATTGCCTCTCATTTCATCAGATATCGGTAAAAAAAAGTTATAATTAACATTTTGATCAAGGTAAATGTGACTAAATAGTATTATTTCGATCCCAGGATTTTGTGATACGGCGTTGTACAGATATTTAGGAACATCCTGAATTTTTAAAATTAACAAATATATCAAGTATTCACTGGGGATTACAATGTTTACCTGTTTCAAAGGTAATAAAAGTGAAAAATTAGTTTGTGATGTCACAGTCCAAACAAATTGAATTATCATTTGAAGCGAGGGTAGATACAGTTTCAGAAGTAGTTTTTAGTAAAACATCCTGATCCACTTCAATATAACCAGGAGTATAATTCTCCATCTAGTAATGAAAAATAAACAAATAAATAAAAGAAGTAAATAAGATATTTTGATTATTAGATTATTATATACAGGGTGTATCTAAATGACAACGAAAAAATGTAAGGGGCGATTCTCTGATGAAAATTAATAGGAGTCTTTGGTATATTTTTTGAAAAAATTCTCCCCTGAAAAGTTATGCCCCTCCAAAAATTAAAAAAAAATTTCTTTTTTATCTTCCATGTACATGTATATCAAGCTAAAGAAACTAAACTTGGTGAACTTTATCTGTCAAATAACTACACTTTTTAAAATTTTTTCAACCCTGAAGTATTTTTATAAGGGGTTGAAATAATCAACCCCTACGACAGTTTTTCTTATAATTGTTTTCGATTATTTTTTTCCGTTTAAAAAATATGTCTAAAAAGTCCCATTTATTTACTAACTTTTTGATCTCTTCAAGTTTTTTCGAAGTTAAGGATTTATGAAAAAAAAAAAAATGTTGCAATGCATTTTTAATAAAATGAGCTGTTTAACGCGAGTGTATTTTGCCGAAAATGACATAGGGGTTGATTATTTCAACCCCTTACAAAAATATTGAAAAGTTGGTTGGAAAAAATTCAGTGTAGTTTTTTTGACAGATAATGTTCATTAAATTTGGTTTCTTTAGCTTGATATACATAGAAGATAAAAAAGAAAAACATTTTTTTTTTAATTTTTGGAGGGACGTAACTTTTCAGGAGAGTTTTTTCATAAAATTTTATACCAAAGACCCCTATTAATTTTCATCAGAGAATCGCCCCTTATATTTTTTGGTGTTATTTAGATACACCCTGTATAACGCTAAAGAGAAGATATTAATTATTATTAAATAGATTATTATTTATTAATCATTAAATCATAGTTAATATGCCTTGCTTTTTTACTTAAAGTGCTTTAGTTAGTTGTACTTTTGAACTGAGCATTGCCTATAATGTATTATCAAACACGTATTATTTAAGAACAAAAATGTATATTGTTCTTAAGACTTACCCATGATTTGTATGAATCAGTGTTTGATGAAACTGACTCAGGCTGTATATATTCCTCTTCCGAGTCAGTTGAAAATGCTTTAACAGTTTCATCAGAAATGTTAGATTCTTCTGGGTAATACCGTTTCTGAATAATATAAGAAATAGTTTAATATAATACACTCAGTCACATCCCAAGCAGATAAAGACAATCATACCTCATACCTATTTGTACTATTAATATTAAGCAGCTAGTGTTTCATTTATTAATTTCTAATATAACATCAAATTCGAATCCTTGGACTTTATTTCTATTCCATTAATTATTTTTATTCATATTTGCAGAAAGTGATAGATATCCTCATTTAAAAGGTGGCTAAACCATTGTTTTCACTTTTACAAAACCTAGTAGTTTTTCAAGTTTCAAGCTAGTAGTTTTTAATACACATGTTTAAAGAAATTGGCTACTAATTATATGGACAATAAATATGCAAGACAACATTTAAATTAACCAGAAATTTAAGATATTTCCGATATATAGTTAAAATTCTTACTCAGTTCACTTTTATCTGTAAAAATCCCCATGTTACACCACTGATAAAACATTTTTCTTGAAATTATGATGAAAAACATAAACTTCAAAGAATATAGAAAATTCACCTAATCCGATGTCTTTTATAGTTTAATTATACAAAACAAATTAATTTCTTTTATTAGATAAAGGTTTTTTTATCTATGTTTTCTTATAATAATGGAATAATTCTAGAACTACGTTTAAATGAAATAACTGTTAACATTTTTTTTGTTGAATAAATTAGATTTGTACATATGACAATAAATATTTACATACTTAAAAAATAAAAAATACCTGTCGTTTTGCTCGTCGAAGAGCATAATGCTTAGTAGACGATGATAGGTACTTCATTTGAATCATCTTGAAAACCGTCTCTTTTATCTAAGAGAAATGATAAAA